GAACACTGTCCCCCCCTTTTTTTTTTCATTTAAGCCTCCCCAAATAATTTCTGTTGTCCCCTGGCCTCATCTGGCCTCTTTCATAACCTCAAAACCCCATAAAACAAAAAACCAAAAGAGTTTCTGATTGACAAATATTGGGAATTTGTGGTTCATTAATGGAAACCCCAAATTTGCTATCTGAGGCATGTCACAAAATGCTGGGAAAGGTGGAAGGAAAGAGAAGAAGTGGACTACCAGGAGCAAGGTGGATGGATGCACTGTTGGAAGACCTGAGGGAACAAGTTGAGGATAGATCCTCCTGGAGAAAATCTACCTTATTTATTTATTTATTTATTTATTTATTTATTTATTTATTTATTTATTTATTTATTAAATTCGTATGGCCACCCATCTCACTGACCGTGACTCTGGCTGGCATACAACCAACACTTACAGCAATGTCACAGCTGTTAAAATCTATGTGGTCACTAACAGTCAGCGCCAACTTAATGAGACATAATCAGTCAATCAGTGTAGAGATCCAGCTCCCTATTATGCTGGGAAAGGTGGAAGGAAAGAGAAGAGGATGACCAGCAGCAAGATGGATGGACTCAGTTACAGCTGCAATGGGTACACCCTTGGAAGACCTGAAGAACTAGGTTGGGGACAGATAGTCATGGAGAAAATCTACCTATGTGGTTGTTAGGAGTCAACAATGACTTGATAGAACATAATAAATCAATTAACTTTGTAACTAACTACCTAGTGCATCATATCTGGTTTCCAGTCTCTACAAAATGACAGTTGATTGAGGAGTTAGTACTGAGTAGTTAAGGTGCTTTGAAGATGAAGGGGGAAAAAAACCTCATAAAATGTAGGGAAAGCAAAGAAAATCTGATCTCATCTTCCTTCCAACTAAGCCATACTGTGATCTGACGGTAGAGTTGCCATTGAATCCCACTAACACAATGGGATCCTTTATATGCCTCCTCAGAAGGAAGTCCTATTAAATTCAGTAGGTTTTATTCCAGACTGAAAGAGCCTGAGTTTTATCTATGCAAACGCTTGGTGACTTTATGATGAGGGATGAAAATAGTTTAAATACAGTACCAAGAGGAAGAAATTCGGTCAGAAGAAAAATGAAATGAAATCGAGGAGGGGGAAGCCTCCATAAAATTGTTTGTTTATTGAGATTCTCTGAGCAAAGAAGCTTCATGTTCAGGCCTAATAAGGAGAAAATATCTAAATGCCATGAAATAAAAACAGAGCAAAACAAGGACAAGTCCTCCAACTGAAATCGGTAATTTTAGATGCATGCTTGGTTGAAACATCTATTTAATGGTTTTTAATGTGTGCATTCTATTAATGGAATGCTCTTAAAAACAGTAAACAAATGGCATGTTACTGAATCACTCCCATAAACTCTTAATAATCAGCTGTGGTGCTCTTTCAGTGGTATGCAGTTGGACTGAGTGATGGGTTAAGGGTAGAGAGATGTCAACCTTTTGCCCTGGACAAATCAGAAAGACTTTCCCATAGACTTGAAGATTTATATGACCTGAAGAGAAACCAGGATCAGCGTTGCAGATAAATTGAGCCAAAGGAGATTAGTAAGGATCAGCGATTTATGAAACATAATTTCATGTCCCATCTAATATTATCTCAAGAGACAGATTGAAGACAAGGAATATGAGAAGCTGTTGGCTCAGAAAATTCCCAAAGAAGAGAATGGGTCTCTTAAGGGATAGTTTAACCTGTGATTTCCCTGCAAGGCAGGGCTAAATAATATTTTTATATCCAGGGCTAGATTCTTTCCAGGATAATCTTTTGGGGGGCCTCACTGAGCATAGGGGTGGAAAGGGTAGGCCCAAAGCCAGAATTGGGCATGGAAACTTCATCTCACTCACTCATACCTTCCTCCTTTTTCTGACTCCATTGTCTCTCTCCAAGTTGCCAGTTTCAGGGACGGGATCTACTGGTGTTTGCAGAGTCTGAACAGATCTCTTCAAAAGGAAATTTGCTATTAGGTCAAGGGCAGACTGTCCATCCCACTAAAAGGGGAGTGACAAAGTCTTGTAGCATTTGCTTGAGAAATATCTGTATCCCCCAACTCTGAGACCTCTAATTCTTTAATCGGCTTGAACATTGGATGTGAGGGTGTTCTGGCTGTGACATCAATCACCCCATTGATCACCAGGATTGATTTGGCTGCTTGCCCAGGGTGCAGTCCCTTACCACTCCCTCTTTCCTGAAGTTACACACTTGGTGGAAAAGGATGACTATCCCACATAGGAGGAATATAGTGTTCTCTGTTCAAGAAATGGTTAGCTAATTTATTGATGGAGGCTATCCACGGTGGGTGAGAGTGAACATTTTATGATCCTGTGGTTATGATCTTGGTGATCCAAATCTGTTTTTTCCTCATTGGCCAATACACAACTGCTTTCATTTGTTTAAATCATGTCATAGATAGAAGATAGATAGATAGATAGATAGATAGATAGATAGATAGATAGATAGATAGAT